TCACGTGGATCTGCACGGTTGCGTATTTCGTCGCGAAAAGAAAGGGATACATATATCGACGATAGATCGCGAAACGTAGAATCGTTTCGAGCGAATATCGCCGCGACCGTTGATTTTTTCAGCTTACTCAAATCAGGCTAAACGACTTGACATTTAAATGGACGGAGGCTCGAGCAGTTAACGCGATTGTATTAGGTACAAGAGTGAGAGTGACCCAATTGCAAAATCTTCCAAGTAATAAAGATTCCCAGTTCTATCAGATTTTTAGTCTTTATTGCAATGTGGGATTAAAACACAAAATTTTCTTTTCTTCTTCCCCAAAGAAAGTGACGTGAACCAAAACTCGATTCTGATTAGAAAAAGCAAGGTTTTCAAGTTAGTTTTCTATATGTATAATTATATTAATAGTGAATAATGTATTTCTAGTGTAAAGTTAAAAAGAAAAACATAAACATTGCAATTATTACTACTGTTAATGCTAATAAAATGTAGTCTGAGAGGCAGGAAGAAATGGCAGCTTACCATAAGTCCTTAGAAAAAGATAGAAAAACAAATTATTTTAGGTAGATTTTTTTATCATTTTTGACGCAATTAAAAAATATAGCTTCGCATTTATTTTTCACCCAATTTGCAAAACTTTGTTTCTAATTTTTGTAATACTTCCAAGGTGTACGATAATCACCTTGAAATACGTTTTGAAAAAAAAAAATTTTGGATACAATTTATTTATAAAGCATCTTAAATTACATATATATGCATATAGCTATGAAACATGTGCACATGTATGGACTCATGCCAATTCTGAATCGAAAATAGTGCAATCCTAGTTACGAATGGAAATAGATAATAAAATTTGTCGACAATTAACGTCAATTACAGTTGTTTTGTTTAAAGAAGCTCGAGATCGTTCGATTTATCTTGCAACGCGTGTACCAGGAAATTAATAATGGAATGTACATACGTGTATCTGAAGCAAGTGACTCAACGTCAGGCGATAATTTAATACAACGGTAATGAGACTTAATATCGACACTGTAGCCGCGTAATTTCACTGTTAGAATAACAATAGAAATATGATTTGAATATTAGAAATATTAGTAGAGTATTAGTAGAGTATTAAATCATAAATTAAAAGTATTTTCAACTCACATAAAAAATATAAAATGATACAGAGTAATCATCCATCAATGTCCAAGCAAATATCTCCTAAATGATTAAAATTATTTTAGAAATTTACATGGTTTAAATCAACCACGAGATGCACGCAAATTATCGTTTTTTAATTAGTACAGATCAATTGCAATTTTATTGATTTTATTCCAGCAACTACGAACAAAGAAAAACTAACAAAACAATGCGAGTGTGTTGTTCTTGTAACCGTGAAAATTTCTCTTATTAAACTTTTTCGTAACATCAGCCATTAACGAGATATTTGCTTAAACATTTATGGACGGGCACCTTGTATACATATAACTTTCGATCACCTAAAAATATCGATATACAATTGTGTACGCCTTCAAATTCTCTGTTCTAGGATTTTAATAATTTTTAATAATTCACACTTTTAGAGTATATTTATAGACAGACATATAAGTCTTAAAAGTGTAGGAAGTCACAGACAACGTTAGTTACACGTGGCACACGTGTATGTCCATGCAATGATTTTTTCCTGCTCTGAATCGATAGATTGGACTGTGACGAAACAATCTCGTAACACGATCAACGACGTGACACATAAATCTGCAAGCCTCCCGTCGACCGTCACACGGGTTACACGTGTTCTGGCGCAAGTAACGCTGCGTAACCCGTTTCGATGCATTAGCAGACTGCTCCTGATGAACAAGGACGTCATAATGTCGATCTCGCGTACGATTTTCATCAACTTCTACGTACAATTCACTACGCATCCGGTCGTTTCCATTTTATAAGAATTTACACTTTTCAATAAACGTTACTCGAGAAAAATATCAATACATACAGGGGAAAAAATTTAATGGAAGATTCTAGAGGCCAAAATAAGACGAAAATCAAAAATAGCAATTTGTTGATCGAGGCTTCGTTAAAAAGTTATTAACAAATTAAATTAAAAAATTTCAAATCATTCTGAAAAAATTATTTTCAATTGCAGGGGTAAATTACAATCATTTTTGGTGCATAGACATACCCCCGAAATCCTAAGCACTTACGAGAAAAAAATTCGAGTAGGTACTGAAATTTTTAGACGAAATTAAAAAATTTCAAATTATATTTAGTTAGAGGGGTTAATTACGAGCACTTTTGGTAAATAGACATACCCCGAAATCTTAAATTAATTTGATCACGTGAAAATAAAGATATTAAATATTTACATATAAGTCTGAGAAACCAACATGGCCGCCATGACGATTGAAAGTTATATCGTTCTTAAAAAAACCCCTGAGAATTTAACATCCGTATTAAAACTATGATTTCTGATTTAAATAAAGTGAATTTTTTGGCCAAAGGGTCAGTTTCAATGTAATCTTCATTTCTTAAATTAACTAAATCTTGTTAGAATCATATTTGTAGCAAAACAAACTAATATGCAAAAAATATAATGTTCAGGAGATGTAGATACGTAGGTGGGGGCACGAAGGGCTTCTATGAAGCATAACCGGATCGTATCGGAAATAAACGAACGTTAAAATCTATGCGACGGCATGAACGCCATGGCGAATGAAAGAAAGAGATCGTAAACGCTGAATTGATACTCTCGTTGACCTTCCCGTAAGTACCCATTTCAGCCCTCGTTGTCTTCCACGTGTAAATGTCGTCCACGTGTGACCGCGTATATCGGCGCGCACTTTACATGTCTGGACTAAAATAAGTATTTAAGTGAAATCAAGCGTGGGCTTCGCCTTTCAGGACGCTTGTCCGTCGCGAGATCAAACCGACGCGTTAACTTTAGAGCAGAAATTGTACAGTCCACAGATTCATTACGCAATTATTAAAATTTTCATTTTTATAGACACATAATCCCTCGATAAGAAAAAACCGAATATTTTTCAAAGTTCCCCAGATCAATGATGATTCTCAGAGTTTATTAACGACACAGTGACAGAAATCGAAAGACATTCAAAGCTGCAAAATTTAAACGTGTCTCATTTTTCTCAAAAACACGATTCCATTCCATATTAAAATTTTCGTTTTATGCTAATGTGTATTTAGTATCTCCTGGAAGAATCGTGGCTCATAAATTCTTTGATGTCTAGCAGAAAGAGCAAAACGTGAGAAGTTGAAAGTGTTTAAGACTATTTTTAACAATAATTAATATTGCAATTTTACACCACTTCAGTTATAATTTTTGTATTTCTTTAGGGGGTGTTCGATTCGAAAAATCGTTTTTCCAGTTGGTAATTGATACCAGTTACTAGACAGCTACAAGAGCTTTACAATGGGGCTTCCCCCCTTGATAAAAACAATTATCAAACACGTTTCTGTTAATACAAGTCAATTAAGTGATACTAAGTGAATTTGTTACGAATCAGAAATAAACAAGTTTTATTGACACGTGCAATTTATAAGTACTCGTACGACAATATACAGATACAGACAATAATAGCAATTTATATCACGTTGCAACTTACCGGTTTACAGGTTAAACAGTGCGATGTAGCACCAAAGATTTTTAATCGAAATTTTCAGACAGGTATTTGTCTTCTCCGCTTTTGCTGTCAGTCACCTCAGAGTCCGACGGCGACCAATTACAAAATCACTTTCGCAACGTAACGTTTGAATTTCCACGACAGTTGAATCCCGAACGGTGTTTTGAATCAATATTAGAACTTATGGACGGCACTTAACGCATATAACTGCATACGATTTTGCGATTTACGTTTCGTAATTGTTCAAATTTACCCTCAGTCTGTTCACGATCTTTAAACGATGTCACAGCGCGTAAAGCTAAACTGCATAGTTCGGTCGTGACCTTTTAGTCGCGACGATTGTTCATCCTGACAGTTTCAAAGGATGATCTAAATCCACCGGCGTTTGCACATCGACTAACGGCGATCGAGTACTTACCGCCATGTTATCCCCCCTCGTGGTTGCGCGCAACATGGTCACGCGTGCGTAGATGCACGATTCCCGTGCACGCGCCTCAAACTTCGATCTTACGACAATCTCGATAACAAAAACGACGGCACGTGCATCCAGTGTGGCCAGATTTGACATAATTGAGTGCATCAACGGCAACACTAGTAACGACGAACTTCCCTTAGTGTCTAACAAAATGGTGGGGAAAGCGGGCACACGCTACCGCGCGAGCCACGCGTAAGTATGTGAGTTCGGCACTTTGCAGAACTTCGGGAAATCGAGAAAAAAAGGCAAGCGTGAGCCTTTCCTTCTCGCCCTTGCAACAGCTGAATCCGACCTTGCAACGATCGGCATACGATTTCGAAAATTTTATTTAACGGAAATACACGGTTCAAAAGTCCCTGATCATATTGTGATTATTAAAGAAAAATATTTTTTTACTCTACCTACAGTGAGCGCCAATACAAAGTTAACACTTGAAATTTTCAACTTCTCTTTGAAATAATTTAAAAGGTATTAAAGAGAACAGGAAAAAGGTGTATGGTATTGAAAGCTTGGGGAGATTACGATTTCCGTGGCCCCTTGTTTAGCGGTTGAATTTCTGTTCTTGGGATGTACTTACATGTCACAGGTATCAAATGGGCCTGGTTTAGCCGGTAAAATAGATTTCCTGTGTTTTGTGTTATGGACTTTCGCGGCCGAATCTGACTGCCGTACCGACCTGAAAATTCGGAGGTGATTTTAGCGGCCTCTTTTCATGGATGACGATCAGTCGAGGAACTATTCACTGAATTAGTATATTGATGGACAGCAGCTGTAGTGTGTGTATAAATACTTTTGAGTTGACTATGGGAGGGAATCAGCCTGTATGCTAACTCTAACCTCTAAAAGCACTTGCTTATGTTACTGTACAAAATTGTAACTGATCGTATTATCTTAGCTTGAACATGTTGATTCGTATGAATTATCATTTCCTTTTGTAAAAGAGTAATAAATGAGAATAATACCTTTCTCATTTCATTCAAATTTTTACCTCAACTGATGAACACTTTCACTTAAATGATTAAAAATTTAGTTTATTTTATGTAACGATCAAACAAATCTTTAAAACAAAAAAGAACTGAAAAATGATAAAGATTAAATCTATATTAATTTACAGTACATCTTTTTTACTTTTAATGTTACTTCTTTTACTCTACATACTTGGAGCTGCTCGTTATGTTACGGATTTTGAAGAAAATACTTGTGATATGACATATATGTTTGAATATCCACAGTATGTGGTACGTAAACATAATTGAAACTTTTTTGTAATTAAAAATATTAATGAATACTACCTCCTTTTATTTTAACCCTCTTTGTATGTAATGAATTTACTTTAATTGCTACGCTGAATCATACTAATTATACGATACTGATTAAAAATGACAGTGTTTTAAACAAATTACTAATTTCGACTATCATAAATATTATTGTAAAAATGCCATTAATATCTTTGTTAATATTGATTACATACCATTACACATAACAAAGATTATATACAAATTTATACATTAAATTTGATTTGAATTGTTTCCGTTAATTTTTTGCTGTTAGAAAGATTGTTATTTTATTATTTGCATTATGTTTTTATACAATATAAAAAATTCATTATTAATATTAGAGAATATCCTTGGACAATGAAATAGAAGAACGATATCTTAGATATAAATTATATGCGTATGGAGAAGGTTTTACTACAGAAAAACTCAGAAGAATGTATTTTTCTGGAATACCAGTGCTTTTTATACCAGGCAATGCTGGATCTCACGAACAAGGTTCTTATGATTCGTTCTCTAATGCCTTTGCATCATGGATGTAAATCACTTTTATAATATATTTATTTTTTTTTTAGTAAGGTCTCTTGCTTCCGTGAGTTTGAGAAAAAGTTTAAAAGATAGGACTCCATTTCATTTTGACTATTTTACAGTATCATTAGGAAAGGATTATTCTGGCTTATATGGAGGTATAAATATTATAGAAGAAATATATTTTCAGTAGTTTAAATATTCGTTGACTATATTGAATAATAATTTCTTTTATGGGAGATTATCCGTTATTTATTAAAATTTCCCAAATATTTATTTATCATTTAATAACATTCAAGTATTAGTTAATGATTTATTTATTAATCCAAGGTGTACTAATGGACGAGACTTTATATGTTTCATACTGTATAAAAAAAATTTTAAGTTTATACAAATTTAATGTGGAGAACATTGTGCTTATTGGACATTCAATGGTAAGTGTAAAATTGATATATTTATTATAATAAATGTATTAAAATATATTTCTGTCTATTTAGGGAGGTATTATAGCTAAAGGATCTGTCTTATTGACTCCAAATATAAATGCTAGTGTTGCAAGTATGATTATAACTTTGGCTACTCCTCATACACCTACATTGGTGTTAGACAGTACTTTTGCCAATTATTATCACGACTTGGACAATCGTTTAAGTCAACTGAAAGATGCTGGAACAAGTGTGATATCGATAGGAGGTGGACCACGAGACATACTCGTGACTTCAACTCAAATTTTAGATTCTACGGCTGATATTAATGTCCTTTCTACCAACATACCAGATGTCTGGAAATCTACGGATCATTTAAGTATTCTTTGGTGCAAACAATTAGTGTTCTCCATTGTGCGTTTATTATTTGACTCTGTTAGTACTACTCAGAGGCCTTTGAAAATTTCTTCCAACGCTGATGAAAGAATGCAGGCTTTATCGTATCATATTTATCATGTAAGAAACTATCGGTATATTTATCATACAAAACAATATTTCTGACGCAATTTATTTTACAGCGTGCTTCCGGGAAAAAATTATACCGTTACAAAGAAGTAGTAGAATTTGAACCTGGCGGTGAGTGGATAGAAGATACTCGAAGACATTATACATGGAGTAATCAAAATTTATCTAAAAGGACATCTCCTATTTATCTTATGATTAGATTCAATGGACAGCCAGATCATTTAACTATTGACACTGTAAATTTAAAATCAAAAGATTGGTTGTTCGTTTGCACAGCATCTAGCATACAAGGACAATCAAGAGTTTGGTAATAATACTTTCTGTTCTGTTTTTTTGCACAGAAAATATTATATTAGTATAAGTATTTTTTAATTATTAACTATGTTTATTAGTAACTGGGGCTGGAACTTATCAAATAAAACAAGAATGTTACCAGATCCTTTGTATCAACTAAGAAAAACTGTCGACTTAGATCTTCAGGAAATGAAATACCCTGGTGCAACTCACATTATAGTAAGACTTACACCAGATAATTTTGAAAAATATGTTGCCGTAAATGTCGATATGTATTCTTATAATACAAGACTTATACCTATTGCGGACAGTGTACCTCTATTGAAAAGTTTACTTATCAAACCCCAAATAAAACAATCTGATACTGGACATGTCAGATATTATGCTACTTTTGATAATATTATGAACGCTATAACAGTTGAACTTAAAGCATCTGTATGTACAGACCCAAAACACCAGGCACTTGTTGAATTATCTGAACCATGGAGCATTGGTGTTACCCAATTTCAGTTTTTTACCGTTGTGTAAGTGCAATTGTATTTAATAAAAATTTTTCAAATGCAAAAATTTAATACTGACAAAAATATTTAACATTTTAGGGATAATGGGCCAAAAACGATGAAACTTCAAACCAGTCATAAATATTCTAGTGTTTCTCCATATTTAAGAATAACTTTAGATCCTGCATGTTCTTACACAATTAATATACAAAAAAGTGGTATCATAGATCAAATTTCTTGTATTGTACGGGATCGTTGGTACCTTCTATATACAACGATTATTAGTTTACTTTTAGTATTTTTATCAATGCGAATCAATCACAGGCATGACCAAACTCCAACGATAGTAGTGACAATATTTTTGTCATTTTACTATCATTTAATATTTGAATGTTTAATTGCTTTAGCAATTCTTTGCGTATTCGCCATTGGAATATGCTGTACCATTATATTCCTTGGTTCAGTGGCACATAGTATTGCTGTTAGGTAAGAATGTTAAATCATCTATTCATATTATATTTAACATTACAGGAGTATTAAATTTCTTTTTAAGGTTTCTGGCACGTGCAATAGCTTTTTCAACAACATGGTCAGATTGGCTACTCGGAGGATTAAATCAGTTGCCCTTTATTACCACTATTCTTGTCTTGTCTTTAATTCCTGCAACTTGTGGAGCTCTAGCTATGTTAATTTCAGTTTTTCTATATTTTTTAAACTTAACGAGAATGTATGAAGATTACTTAGAAGAACTATTAATGGCTTCGTTACAACATTTCAACTGGATAAAACAATTCAGAAATACAAAAGATTCTAAAGAACATGAAAATACGAGACAAAAAATATTTGATCATCTTCTTCTGTTCTTACTTTGGTGTTTTACTGCTATTCCAGCTATACCATCTGTACTCGTTTGGGCAAAAAATTTCAGGTTTGTATTTTAATTTTTACAGTACAAACTTATTTGTTTATATTTTTATGAAAAATACGAGTATGCAGTGAAGTTTTGGAAATTAACCACGATGTAACCATAGACATTGGCCAGTTGTTAGTCTCGCAGTCATCAACTATGTTTATATTTTCAAATCTACTGTGAGATATCAATGTGCTGTATTATACATCTTTATCCCACTCACACTCTCTGAAACAAGGAGACACGCAAAATTTTCTCCCTTCAATTTTGGCTAGTTTTGGTCTTGAATGTCTACCAATATCCAAGGTATCGCTGTAGTCTAATTTAGATTTGTTATATGGTTGTTTCAGTTACGACATGAGGCTTTCTACCGAAGATCCTTTACTATATCAAAGCTGGATAGTTTTAATAGCATGTAGTACATCAGGGTGGTTACAAATTTCTCCAAATAACATTGGAACCCGGTCACAAGTATTAGCTAGCATATTATATTTCTTAGGTTGGGTTCTACTTTCGATGGGAGCTGCATCCAATCCACCCTTTTATCAATATTATATCCCACCTATCATTGCTGGAACTACTACTCTCATTACATTAAATTTCATGATTTCTTAATATATAATTTATTGAAAAAAAGATTTATTTAACAATTTCTCTTATAGGATTTTTTAAAAAGTGACTACAAGAATTCTTTTATGTACATCACAAAATAAATTACTTTATTTATCATTTATGAGAAAAAGAGATGTACAATTGTAGCATGTATGACCAATATTCATATATAACATATATTATCTAATAACCCATTTAAGGGCACTGTGCTGTTTTTATCTTTAATACACGAATACCCAAGATTTAAGAGAACGCTTATAAAGTAAATTTTTTTTTATCATTTATTATTGATTGTTCTCTATTTACTTAATAAAGTTCATGATAATAATAAATTGAGTACATTTAGTTAAAGTAAAAAAATTTGATTTTGAGTTTTATACTAATGTATTATCTATTTACTTCTTATAAGGAAATAATATGCACATTTACGTAAATTAATCGGACCCAGAAATAATCATGAAATATATAATTATTTATAATAGAAATATGGCAGTAACATAACTATACATATTAATAATATAATGCCCACTCGTTTTCTTGTAGGAACGTGTCAACTACTTCTTTCATTGCTAAATTAGGTATCAACTGATCTTGAGTTAAACGAACTCTAGTAACTGGGTCAAAATGTCCTACCCTTTGTAAATGTTCTTCAATGTCTTTTCGTTCATACGTAATTCCACTCGGTGTAATTACAGGTTCTTGCAAAATTTCAAAACTGATCTTTCCACATAAATAATCAGGTACTTCTCTCTTCTACTCGATGCATTTATAGAAATCACAAATATCAATTATTTTCATTTGTACTGAATTGAAACATTCAACAGAAATTAAAAAATATAAACTCACCATTCTTCTTTCATCAACTTTTGCAAACAAATCATCGAGACGAGCCATACATGTATCCCTCTTTTCTTCTATATCTTCTTTTTGTCTTGTAAATTCACTAGATGCAGTTTCCCCTTCGGTTTTATCATTTGTTTCTTTTGTTGCTTCCTGTTCCTTCAAAGCAGCCAAGTTTCGTTCAGCATCTTCTACTATTAATTGATTCAAATACGATTGTAATTCGATATCTTGAAGAATCCTTTGTTCTTCCCTTACTTGAAATCGACGTTTCCGTGCTTGCCTTAAAATACTGGTTATATCATCTCCATAGTTTAGTTTCTGTTCCTTTGCCAAATCCATAGCTACATTGTTGTTGTTTCAAATCAGTAATCACGCGAAGGACAAGTTTCAGATTGGCATAAAAACCATGAATACCATAAAAAAGAATATTCACAAAATATTTCTATATAGCTATGTTCTAATAATAATGCTATTAAAGTGTAATATAAAATTAAAAGTATCTCTTTAATATTAGAATGTAGAATACTTTTTTACAATCAATAAACTTACATATACTTGGTGCACTATGAAATTAATCATATTAGTACACATGTAATGTAGTCCCTCTTCAAAGAATGTAATAAATTAATGTAATTTTCAATTTATAATATTTATTTTAGTAGCATCATTAATATTAAATTCAAAACATTATTGAAAAGTTATGAGACAGCGACGAACCAATTATCTAAAACTATATTCCCTCAAAACAACTAGAATACATTGGATTTTAACCCTTGTTTGACAGTGTCTGGATCTATTTTGACCTATACATGACTTTAATCGTTAAGTCGATATGGATACTCGACACGACATTTGGTTGTGTGAGAACTAACCAGATGATCATATATTGAAAGATTGCATTTTCTAGCATTAATCAGTGTGTCTCAAGGAAGGAAGGATGTGTTTGCATTCACTAAAACATATAAAATTCGCATGTTATTTTATTACTCGTGTATATGAATTCTAATAAAAAAAAATATCATATTACAATGCCTGAAAGGAAAAAGAGTCAATAAATGAAATGTACGCCTTCAGCAATTTAATAGGAGTAACATTTTATGACTCAAACAATGTACTAGGTCATTCATAAAGTTTATTCTGTTTTTTTAATAAATTTTATTCAAATAATAAATAACACATAAAATCATCATACAGTAGTTTACTCGCCACAAAATTTACCATGGAAATATTCCATTAAACATTTACTCAAACAATCCTTTATTCATTTGGTATGAAATGATAATTTCATTTTATAATTTAAATTGTAATTTTTATTAAACAACTTAACGAATCAAAAGTAGTTTATCATTTATTTGTTACTCGTAATTTTTACTTAGATAAATTATGTCTACAATAAATATGAAAACATTGTGGTGCACCGTTAAATTATTGACACATCGAAAGTCTATACGTATTTTGAAAGATATTTACTATATTAAAGTTAAAATAGATTTCAGAATGGATCAAAATTGACCCAGACACCACTGAGTTCTAATTCCTATTCCAAGGATTAAAAGAAAAGAGTAGAATCTCTGAATAAAAATTCATGTGTACCTCTCTGTAAGTGTTTAACAGCTTCATCAAAGAGTTCCAATTCCAAAAGTGCAAGACCCAAGAAAAAATGACCTTTTATTAAACATGGATCAATATCAAGAGCACGTCTGCAATCTTGACAAGACAATTCCCATCGTTGTAATTTCAAATGACACAACGCTCGGTTCGTAAAGTATAGCGCTTGGGATGGATTTTTAATCTGCAGGAATGAGATGCAGTGTCGTAACTTGCCTGCATATATTCATAGTGACACTCACAATTGCTTTGGTGTAGCAGTAAGCAGCATCCTCGTATTTGTGAAGTTCGAAAAAACGATTTCCTTGTTCCTTCAACTCTTTGTCGGAGTGATTGGCGGTTGTATACATCTTACTCATCTTTTGTGTTGCGCAGGTTACCTTTCTACATAGGAATTTTCGTCAATCGACACACTTAATTTTTCTCACAGAAAAAATCAATTGTATCGTTAAAAAATCGACCAACAAAATGGTATCGTATAACCTTAAATAAATATATATTTTCTCACTCTACTTATACAGTTGCTAATCATTGACTAAAGTGTAACAGGAAATAGATAAACAAAGCTGAACGAAGCTGCTATCGGCATAAAGCTAGATTTTCACGAAACATTTTCAAACAAAAGCATTTAAATAAATATTCAATGCATAATATTTTCTAATTTTCATATCCTACACAACTCTTACACTTCGATAAAATCGAATTTGCAATAACGAAATTGATTTCCCTTCTTATTGCATATATTTTTTTGTAATAACTTCGTAAAAATATATGTAGTTGGTAGTATGGTAGACAGAAACTTGTATATGTATAATACAGAGATGGCGTGCAAAGTCACTAACAGTGATTTATCACAGGATCACAAAATCACGATCACGCTCGTGATTAACACGACCATTCACAACTGTGATCCGAAAGATGGCGTTTTAGTAGTGTTGCGATCTCCGCTGGTATGAATCTGTGTATTATGTGAAGTTAGCTCTAAGACATAGGGATATCAAGGTTTGATGTGAGAGCGAAATTCAAACCGACCAGCGTATTGTAATAAACAACGAAATCGTACGCTTTTCAAAGTGGGCGATCAAGCTGGGGAAGGTAGAGAGAAAGGAAGGCATTTCTTAGAGATACTTAGTTTATTTTCTAAAGGCCGTGTCGAATTCGAGTTTCCATCGTTCCTTTAGTTTATTGTTTAGTTATTACGGACCGTGCCGAATTAGCTATTTCCGTTAAGAGTTTCAATGGTCTTGACACACAGCAGGGCCTCGCGACACTTCGCTTCGAGTTTCGTTTACTTTCACAAGGGTCATAAATTTTCTTAAGGGTTGTTTAGGCCTCTAGCCTCGTTTGCTCTCTCGACTCCCACGCTTTCTCTCACGTGCGCCCGCTCCAACATGACCGCGTAACCTCCACCTCCACGCGGCTCGGGGGTGGATCATCGATCGAAGACGATCCGGACGGATGGGGCACAAACCCCGATTGGACCAGGACAATCCAAAGGGAGGATCGAGGAATATTCCGGAGAAGGGATGAACATCGAGGACGACGAGAAGATTTCCGCGGAGGAACAGATCGATTTTGAAAGTCAAACAAATTGTATCTAAAAGTCGAGACGAAGACGAATAAATCTTGCCAACCATTTTTCGAACATACATAGTCGTTTGATTTTTGCGCGCCTCGTCGAGCAGAGCGGTTCAGCGCTCCACGGGCACCAACCCACCGTCCTTTTTCCCTAAACCACGATCTCGGGACGCAACAGTAGCGGTTCTGTGGCGTCATCTAGTTAAGTCCCTAGTTTTAGTTAGTTTTGTTGCGGTCGCCGCCTGGCGCCGTGTAGCAGAAGCTCTGGGGGGCGCGAGGTTTAAATCAGATTACACGAATGTAATAGAAAAGGGAGACAAAGTGGAGTCCGCGCCAATTCTACGGTTTAAAAGTAGTTAGAGATTCTTTTAATGACTTCACTTCGGGTCATAGATTAGCCAATAATTTATTGGAGACGGATGTTTGGATAGTCGTGAGCTCCCCTTTGATCCCTTCTCCTAGGTGTGTAATTCCAGGAACTTGGGCCGTGCGCTATCGATTGCCGGAAACGAGCTGCGTGCAAAAGCCGATAACGGCCACGTGCCGCAGAGGACCGTTCTCGAGGGATCGGGGGCTGTGCCGAGGAACGCGCGTGCGAGAGTTTTGCACCCGGCCCGAATAAAGGAAGGGACGATCTGGAGGGGCCTACGTGTGGGCTGGGCCTCGACCGAACGGCAGAGCGACTTGAATCCGGAGATCGAAAGTGAACGGACGTAGCATTGTAACTTAAGCGAGATCGTACTTGTATTATTTGAGTTAGTTAATAGAGTTGAATCGGCAAAGAGAGAAGCATATTGAATTAAGAGAGCGGAAGTGTACGAACGGGTTATAAGAATTCCAGCGAAATCTTGGTTGTTTTGTTTTATATTCCGTTATTGAGTTAATTAAAGTACTATTTACGTGTGTTCAAATCGTTGTAACCATTTATTATTTTCCTTATCTAGCGATCTCCGTTTGAAACTCCCGCGTCCAAGGAGCAGAGTGCCTAGCACTCCACGGCAGTGTGGCCAGATCGGGCATAATTGAGTGCATCGAAATCGACAACAGTGACGACGAACTTCCTTAGCGTCTAACGGAATGGTGGGGATAGCAGGCATACACTACCGCACGAGCCACGTGTACGTGAGCTCGGCACTTCGCACAACTTCGGCAAATCGATAAAGAACGCTAGTGTGAGCCTTTCCTGCTTGCTCTTGTAAAAGACAAAACAACTGAAATACGATCTCGCGATAAGTGGCATACGATTCCAAGTCTCGACTGCCCCAGGCATTTTTACTTTCCGACCTATATGTAAGGTATAAGGAAATTTATAAAGTATCATAATGAAAAAAATTTTGAAGTTTTTTTTTAGCGGAAATACACGTTTTAGGACCCCCTGATCATATTGTGACTATTGAAAAAAAGACATTTTTTTTGTTCCTCAACGACTAACAATAAGTGAATTTCAATAACGAAAAAAATATTTCGAAATTTTTTTTTAGCGGAAATACACGTTTTAGGACCCCCTCATCATATTGTGACTACTACAAAAAAACATATTTTTTTTTGTTCCTATGCTATTGACATGATTGCGTCTAAACGGCTGAATGAATTTCAATGAAACTTAACATTTAAGTTTTATGTTCTCGTTTTAAGGTCTCATTATATTTTAAGCGTGATCAGCTCCCATATAATGATGATTATACGTTTTTAGTTTTATAATTATTTCGATACATACACATCATTTGTAACAAATTTTTAAAGCGATTTATATAAATCTTAAGAAGGATTAAGATCAAATATATTTTTCTCCTATCTTTCCTAGACAGGAAAAATTAAACGAAATCTTATGCCTTGCATACCTACCTAAACCACATAAAAAACGTATTCCACAAATATTTTAGAATAATGTTGTTCAAAGCAGTCTTACTCGTAAAGGGTTAATTAAGGGTTAATTAAAATGAAAAACCACTCTTAGCCAGTACCGTGCACGCTACAGAAATAGATTACTACTGACTTTTCCCACTATGTTTTTTAATAACCGTATCAAATTGTTACACACAATCAAATGTTATATATTTGACTTAACTTTACATAACAAAATAATTGTAACGATAGGTAAAAGAATAACGTGCACGCTACCGTTCAATGGAAACCACGGGAAGGTGGTGGTCACTTCCATCAGGAGGGAAATGTAAAAAATTGTTATTTCTTTGTAACATTCTCACATGCCGTATATTAAAATGTTTTTATTAATGTAATGAAATTACAATATAATGAAAAACTAACTCGTGAATGCATTAATTTTTATTAATATACACACGAGCCATAAAAATGGAAAAATGATATAATTGTTTACATTTCCAAAGGATGGGATGTCGGGATAGGACGTTTGCGATTAAGCTGGCACGTTATGTCGTGCATTGTTGCTCTTACGGTACCGTGACGTAAGTGTAACAAGGCGCGACATTCTACGTCATAGCCACACTATCTACAGCAAGCAATTTCACTAACTAAAAATATACGGCAAAATATAAGCAAATAAATGAAGAAAAAAAATGATAGTTAGAGCAAGCAGAATAGTATTTACAGCAAGCGAAATACGTAAAAAGAGTAACAACACGAGACAAATTGAACGACTATTTACATATTAGCGATGTCCAAAAAAAAATATTTTGGACATCACTAACAAGACTGCGGTTGCAGTGTAAGCGCTTTCGCGTGACGTTATGGCACATACATGCATCACACCTTGTTGCGCCTACGTCACGGTACCGTTGACGTAACAAGACCAGTCTACCGCGACGTCGCATGAAAATGTTTATACTGTCATTGCAGCCTAATAGTACGAATTTACTAAAGAGCTTTTCTCTGGAGAGAAAAATCTCTCTAGAGAAAAGCTCTGTAGTAAATCGGTACCTTAATTTTCGTCATATGACGTAGCGGGAAAATTCTCAAAGTTATTGTCATATGTTGCGTTTAATCTTAAATTACACTTTTGCTTCTTAGCAAATCTATGATATAAATTTTTGGAATACAATAGAGCTAGATGATCGTCATCTACCTCCATGGGTTGAGAGTTTTCCCTCTGCGCCTTTAACGAAGATTGCACAACGCAAATAGAGTTGACGCTGGCCGAAGAAAGTTTATTCCGTTTCTTTGTTTTTATGTCAGGTAACATGGAAAACAATCTTTCTGCATCGGCATTGGAATTTGGAAGTGATCTAATTGTATTTACTAATTTCATCAATTCAGGAAATTTAATTTTATAGTCCAAATTTCGCGTTAATAAAATTGTTTTCCAGAAACCATCGAATTTCATCTCGATAAGCGTCTGTCTACCTTTCGTTGTAAATTCCAAAGGCAATACTGACCATTCTGTTTGCAGTCCTTCTTCGTCGAAACCGCCGAATTTCTTAGCGATTAAGAGAACATTTCTGAAGGAAATGTCTCTATTTGTATCATTTAATATAAAAGTGGGTTCAAAAACATACAACTTGCTAAGAAATTCGTCATCGATTGGCAATCGATGACGAATTTCGTTTGCAGCTGTAATATAAAACATTAAACAATTTTTCCTTACGGTTTCTACGATGTCGGACTTGCCTTCTGCATTCAGTTGATGCAGAAAATTAAGACACTCTGTTCCTAAATTTATACTATTAAATGGAAGTTGATTTTCGACTACAGAAAAATTCATCATTCTTACTAAATCCATGTGTTTCAAAAGCTGCGGTTTCAGAAAATTGCGTAATATATCGCATAAAAGTTCTGCCGCAGTCTTTTGAAGCAAATGAATTCTTGTCTCTTGAATTTTAAAGAAAATGCTAAATTTATAAAAAAACTCAAGAGCGTAATTTAGAAAATAAAGATATGCTTTGGCCTCTGGATTTTGCATCGAGATTAACAGACGTTCCCCGGACTCTGATTTCTCGCTTATTGTCAATTCTTGCAAAAAAAGCAATACAGAGTCCCAATTCTCTAAAAGTGTAACTACGGATGTATAATGCGATAACCATCGCGTAGAACACAATTTTAAAATTTTTCTGTCGGTTGTTTGAAAACATTGCTGAAATTCGCGGAATATAGCCGAACGTTTGGGACTACTGTATATGAAAGTTGCTACTTTTCGTAACAACTCCTCGCATAT